GCATTAAAATCGCCAAGCACGATTTTGACATCGTGTCGGGGGCAGCGCTCATATGTACGTTCCAAGCGCTCATAGAAGAGATCCTTGGACGCCTCATCCTTCTCTTCCGTCGGGGCATGGGCGCAGATGAGCGAGATGTTGAAGAATCTAGCTTTGATGCGGATTGTGGCTAGACGTTCGTCCACCGGGGTGAACGCCAGTACTCGGCGACGGAGTCTCTCTCCTACCACGAATCCAACACCGAATTTGCGCTCCTTTACGTGGCAACTGTAGTAGACGTCGCAAGGCTTCACGCTTACTTTACCTTGCCCCGTCCATCGCATTTCTTGGATGGCGGTGATGTCAGCCTTTGTCTTCCCGAGGACATCAACCAGCCGGGCAGAGGCACCTTCCCCATTAAGGGTCCGGATATTCCAGGTGCATACCCTTAAATCATAGTCCTTTATACGTTTGCCGTGGTCGTCATCAGAAAAAGGGGGTCTCATCCGAGGCTGTTTACTACTTTTCATAGGGCGGGGTTTTAACGTGGCGGGACCCAAACCCAGCGCACGCGAAGTTTTACGCCTTCTCACTTTAGCTCGCTCCCAAACGGGTGTTTGGGTGCTACCCAGAGGATACGTGGATATAAATATCCGGACGTTGTGAGCTGCGATTTGAACCGTACGCACAAGAATCGCGTCTGGCCACTCCCAGGTGAATGGCAGTCAAAAGTTTTCCACTTCTGCGCACGGAACCATCCTCCTACTCGGTTTACTATGGACATTTTAATGGATTTCGGTTGAAAAATGGAGACAAGATAGCAGCATGCGTAAAGGTATGAAATCACTATTAGAAATCTGCACACTATTCACAAAATAAAGTTTTATTTATCCACATTCAGATATTGTAATTACATGGTTTCTTCTTGGCGGTGATATTCGAAAAATTGCAACAACCTGGCAAGATCAAACAACGCAAAAAGACTGGACAAAAAAATTGTGATAATAAGAAAAACTTAGTGATTTAAGAAATTAAAAAAAAGAAAATACAGTTTGAAGGAAAATTTTACTTTAAAAGCCTTGCCAATATTTAATAAAAATCACCATGCACTCAGGTTTCCTTCCCACTGTATGATTTTAATAAGAGATTCAAAAATAACTTAAAAAAAACAAATATGTACATACCTTAAATTAAATTAAACACAACTTTGTTATTTAATTTCTAGTTGATAAAAAACTGTACTTGGATATTTAATCGCTTTGATTTCTTGGGGTTCGAAAATACTAAAGTTGTTATAAAAATTCTGTTCGTCTTTTTTTGTATTTTATAAATTTTAGTCCTGTGCCTTGTTTAAATACAACCTTTTTAAAAAATAATACATATATTTATATACATACAGCAGTGGTGAAAGATTTAGAACCGAAAACTCAAAATGATATTGATTGCAATTTATGTTTATTTATTTATTTTTAATAATTTTCATTTAGAATATATGTACATACAGTCAGTGTCAAATGTAAGTGTACACCTTATTCTAATATAATATTCACAATTATATATATATAATCATGTAAATCAAAGCTTCACACTTTATATGTAAAGTTCACAAAAATTCAAACAATGTTCATCCAAATTTAAAAATTTTTATTCAGAATTTACAGAAAGTTTTCAAGTGTGCAGTTTTGTAACCCTTTCAATTTCAGTCTCCTAAAGTGCAAGTTTCAAATCGCCAATAATTACCGTTGATTTTTTAGAATTTTTTTTGTGGAGGGTGTTGCGCATGAAGAAAAAAAAATTATTCTTCATACATTTATTTTTACCGGCAAAACTGTTGATTATATAGAAAAACGTTATATGAACAGATTAAAGGAATTGTAATTTTTAATTTTTTTAAATTCGTTTGAGCAAAATCGGACTAGTGGTTCTCGAGTTATGTCAAAAAAAAGACCACCAAAGGTGACAATTTCCACTATATGCTATACTAACTTCAAATCGATATATCTCTATTCCTAGACGTGACCCAGCGAAACGCCGGGACACGTATAACTTCTTTTTTACCGATATAACTTTCCCCGGTAGTTTGAACCCTTCCCGATCACTGACCCCTACCATTTGTCTCACAGTGTAATTATTGGCGATTTGAAACTTGCACTTAGGAGACTGAAATTCAAAGGGCTACAAAACTGCGTACCCGAAAATTTTCTAAAAATTCTGATTAGAAATTTTGATGAAAATTTTTATTTATTTATTTTCTATTTAATTTTTTTACAAAAACAGTTAAAAATTAACAACAATCTTAACGCGAATTCAATGAGATCATTAAAAACAAACAATAAAATAATATAAAATAAATTAATTCACAAACTTAAATACATACTAATAATCAACTACTAACTATGATATAACATATGTACATTTGTAATTAGTGAGTATGTATATTACAATAGAAGGACGTAATAGTATCAGTTATGTACTTATTTACTTATAAAGGAATAAAGCAATTACGATCATTATGTACTTTGATACGCACATGCAAGGCCTTATCTCACATCGTCACTGAAATATAAAAAGTCGTAACTAACTAAAAATGCAAAATTCACGTTTTGATTGATGATGATACATTTCATCGAATTATAAGTTTCCAAATCGTTTTATGCAATAAACAATTTTAGTTAGTTACCGCTTTTTTGCATTTCAACCACGATGTTATATAGGGCCTTTCTATATTAAGGTACCAATATGTAAGACATTTACAACACATGTATTTGTGTTGATATTTTCTTTATATAGATTATTAAGTAAATGAATCGTACATACCTACATAAATAAATCGTATTTACATTTAGTAGATAATAATAACAGATATCAATTTTGGTAACAAATATGTATGTATAAATCTATATATATTTACTTATTGAATACATCTTTTATTTGAAATGGTTAATTAATTAATTAAAATGTATTGAATGAGTAAATATATAGTATATAAATTTATACTTATATGTTACCAAAATTGATATCTGTTAATATTTTGTAGTTACATACATACATATGTGCCAAGTAAATATCTACAAAAATACATGTTCTGTAAATATCTTACATATGCATATGCATGTACGTACCAAAGTACATAATAATCGAAATTCCTTTATACTTTTATAAGTAAATAAGTACATAACTGATACTAGCAACATTTTCTATTTTAATATACATACTCACTAATATACATACTCACTATTCACATACTCACGCATTTTTGCTATTTCGTTCAAAGCATATGTGGTAATTTTTCCCACCAACGTCGCTTCTTCCTGCGGGTTAACTTGTGTGCCGTAATGATTTGAGCAATTCCTTGAAACATACTCGCGGAAGCATTTGGCACATTATTAGCATTTGCGATTGTAATGCTATTTGCAGCAGCAGCAAATGTGTCGCACGTTTCCTTCAGGGAACTTGAAGTTTCCTCTAGGAAAAAACGAAAGTCGTCATCAATCTAAGGAAAAAATAATCTTTCAGATTTCTGGCCCATATACACTTTAACTAGGGAAGACAAAAATATGCACAAAAAACTTTACTTATGATCATTAAAATTGTCTTCCCTGCTTATAACAATAAACGTACATACCATGTCGTGTTTGCGTCGCGATTGGCGTGGTGTTGCTGTGTGTACTTCGTCTTCTTCTCCCTGCACTTCAATAACACTTTCCTCCACTTCGAAACATTGCTCCAGTTCTTAAAATAGTAAAAAATTTATATAAATACAGATTTATCACTTGCACGCATACATATATGTGCATATACATATACTCGTATATAAGAAATGTAATTATATTCACCTCCGGCAGTACTGGAAGTTGTCCAAAAATGACATTTGGTCATAGAACCTCCATCTCGTCCTCTTGCTAGCGGAGCTTCCTGATGGCAAAGTCTCGGCCCGTTTGCACCGCGAATAATGGTCGCGCAAACCTTTCCAGCGCTTTTTACATACATTAGCTGTAAATAAATAATATCTCGGTGAAAATCTTTAGAATTAAAAAAACAAATTGTTACCTTCTTGGCCCAATACTTCGCTTATCTGCAACCACACTTCCTCCTTTTTCAGAGCATTTTTATACCCCTCATCCTTAAGGTTGTACAAAAATGGATATTTTTGCACTTCGCTACTCAAAATTTCATCGGAATCCATTGTTGTAAATAAATAAAATAAATATATTTGGAAACGTATGCACAATAAATCAAAAGCCGTTTGATTTGAATTTATGAACGAAATTTCAACAGAGAGCAAATATTCTCTCATTTTCCCTTCGTACGCCTGTCAAATTAGAAAATAGAAATTGTCCGTCTACAGCTTGGTGTGCAATCGCACGACAACCCTGGCTTGTGTTGTGGATTGTGTTCGGCGCATGTGCTTTACGTGTATTCTAATTTGACAGGCTGCACGCCACACGCCACAAGCCCTTTATGTGTTTACAGCATTAACAATTGTTCTATGGCGTGCCCACCATTGCTATAGATTATATATAGATAGTGGCAATGATAGTTTTCGGTTTAAATTAATTTGCGTGTAGTTTAATTTAATTTGCGTTTGGGTGAAATTAATTTGCGTTTGGGTTAAATTAATTTGCGTTTGGGTTAAATTAATTTGCGTTTGTTTTAATTTAATTTGCCTTTGGGTTAAATTGATTTGCGTTTGGTTTAAATAAATGTGCGAATGCTATATATACGACAGGCAGAACAAATTAAATTTTTACAGGACCGTTGGGCGGAAATTTTGGTACTTCCGGTATCAAAATTTCCAGCACAAGAAAATACGCTGATATAATTTTAACGGCAGCAAATGGCTCAACGATATCAACGTACCTACACTGAGGAGAAAAAATAGTAAAATCAATCAGAAACGTAGTTGATCTTACTACAAGCGTCAACTTGAGTACAGTATAGTGGTAAATATTCAAATCATCTACGCGCATATTAAAATGAAGCATTCGTTTTGAAAAAGCATCCGCGAAGTTAGTAATCAAGATAAAACTAAAAAAAATATTTTATCTTCATGTTGCCTGCAATGGAATTCGAACACTGACTCTGTGGAAATCAACAAATTGTCGCAAGCATCTTTGTACACTTAGCTACAGCCAGACATTTAAATGTGCTTTCAAATGTTGATGTACATATGTACACTTGAAGTGTTCATACACGATATGTATTTGCATCTGCAAATGTGATTTTTTCGATACATACCCAGCCAGCAAAAAATCCGAAAACCGATCCGAAAAAGGACAAAAAAGTGGATGAAGTGCGGATTTCTGTCCGTTTACTGATTCCCTTTCCGGATACTTTGACGATCCGTTTTCCCACTAAAGTGTGCGGCAGGAACGTATGTACAGACAACAGTGTGTTGAACGGATACGTTTTCGGCTGTTTTTTCGGAAATTTGTCTGATTAAATTTTTCGTTCAATACGCTTTCTTTCTGCACTTCACAGATACTTTTTCATGGTTCAAAAGAAATAAAAAAAAATTAGGAAGCGCCTGACGGAATACGGTACCTTCTGGAAGCTAACAAATAGCGGCACACTTCTCTGCACGCTCAGCCACTGCCAACTACGCATTCATGCATTCAAATGTTTAGCTTGAGCAAATAAAATACAATTATGGCTTTCAAATGACACCATCTTTTTCGAACGTTTCGAGCGTTTTCCGGATACGAAAATTTATGATAACTGTTAGGAGTTTTTTCTATTCGTTTTCGGTTACGGAAAATTGAACTAAACTGCACTGTCGACAAAATTTACGTTTCTTTGCTGGCTGGGTGTATGCAAATGCATCTGTCTGTCAAATACGCAGTCTTTATTTAAGTATTTAAAAATACGTTCTTTGAAAATGAAATAAAACAAACCCAGTCGATTCTATATGTGTGTCAGATAAAAATAGAAACATTTCTATTTCGTATGTACGTGCTTTTTCTTTGTACAAAAACAAGTTTAATTTGCCGTTACACAATAGGGCTATTCGCGATTCGGTGTATAAGAGCCGACAAATTTATGCAATTGCAGAAATATGCCATGGATTGTGAGCGACCTTTATTAAACTGTCATGGCAAAGCTTTTGCAAAACAATTTTTGTGCATCAGCTTTGGTTTTGTTTATGAATGCAATGCATAGCATTTTTATGCTATGGATTTTTGGTATTGCAAATTTGCCAAGCCATGACAAATGCAAATGCGTGTATTTGTTTGTGTACACATGCAAATACATTTGGTGTAAGAACAGCTTTACATACACAGATGCGATCAACTAATTAACAACGAAATTCAAAATCATATTGTTTGCAAATTATGTTTATTTATTTCTAATAATTTTCATTTAAAATATAACTCAATCTATAACGGAATTGCACAAATTTGAAAATTTTTAATTAGAAAATTTAGAAAATTTTCGGGTATACATACTCAGTAACATTTTCAGTTTTATAAATTTCCCCCTCCATTTTTGCGATACCGCCGCGTATTTGAATGTCCACATCTAAGTATGTACAGATGCGATCAACTAATTAGCAACGAAATTAAAAATGGTATTTGCAAACAATATGTTCATTTATTAATTTTTAATAATTTTTATTTAAATATAATTCAATCTATAGCAGAAACCACAATAATAAAAGCTTAAAAGCTTGCACAAATTGCAAAAAAATTATCAAACTAAAAAAATTGTTATCCAAATTTAAAAATGTTTAATTAGAATATTTAGCAAATTTTCCGGTATGCAGTTGATTAGCCCATTCAATTATAGTATTATAAAAAATGCAACTTTATAGTCCTTAAAAATTACTGTTGATTTTTTAAATTTTGTTTTGTAGAGGGTGTTGCTTATTTTCTTCCATATAACACTTGCTCAACACTTTTTTATATGAAAAAAAAACAGCAACACCCTTGACAAAAAAAATTAAAAAAATCAACGATAGTTTTCAAAGACTTGAAACTTGCACTTTCTTCACATTTCAATTGAATGAGCTAAACAACTGCGTATCGGAACATTTTCTAAATATTCTAATTAAAAATGTTTTAAATTTGGATACAAATTTTTTTAGTTTGATAATTTTTTTGCAATTTGTGCAACCTTTTAAGCTTTTATTATTGTGGTTTCTGTTAAAGATTGAATTATATTAAATGAGAATTATTAAAAATTAGGAATGAACATAATTTGCAAACAATATCATTTTGAATTTCGCTGCTAATTAGTTGATTGCATCTGTACATACTTAGATGTGGACATTCAAATACGTGCGTGCTAAGTTTTTGTATGAAAATATTATTGAAGCGAATCTTCTTAGGCGGCGGTATCGCAAAAATGGAGGGTGAAATTTTTAAAACTGAAAGTGTTACTTAAGTAAGAAGGAAGATATAGTATAGAGAAGGGGAAACAAGAAAGTGACATATGACGGCTATATAGGCCCGTCAGAATGGGTACTTGTACGTCAATAACGGAAAAGTATGCGAAGGAAGTGGCGTACGTTCCGTAGAGATATGCCACAATGAAGGTGTTGCGTCTGCAAACAAAAATCAGCTGTTCCTAATGCCACGTACTTGGGGTATACACAAGTCAATTTTTCAGATACAATAGCAAAACATTCACAATTTGTTTACTAATAACTCACACTTCTCTTGATGTTTTCGTCACTGTCTCTGGCTTTTAGAGGATAGTTTATTATCTGGATGCCTACTTTACTCAAACAATTTGACAATTAATGCATATTCTCATTTGTCTTGTCATGTGTAAACACAAGGTTATACAACTGTCAGCAGTGATGGACTTACGTGCGTCAAAATTTGAGTGTATGCCAACGTTCGTTGCAAGGTGTATTTAACAAGGTGGTGTTAGCCGAATATAAGTAAAAAATTACACTAACAAATTATACGCAGATATACATACTGCCACTCCACGGCGAAAAACTCAGCTGTCGCCCCAACAACATCTTGTTAAATACACCTTCTGACGCTCTCTATGCAAACACACACAGCATGATTCAATAATAGGAAGGCTTTGTAATAAAACAGTCTTCTCGTTTCCACACATAAAATCAGCTCCTTTACTTGTGCGCAATGTTGCTCACTCTACAGTTTCTAGTTATATGAGTAGTAAAACCAAAAATTCTTCATACTAAATATTCGTTAGCATCACCTTCGTTTTGCGTAATTTTCTGGAAAAATTCTAGAATAGCGACCGTTTAGCTATAAAATAAAAACTGACGATTGAAAGAACTTTTTACGCTAATTTCAACGATACCAAATTTATTTGGCGCAGTCAAAAAAGACTATTTCATGAAAAAATAACATTTGTTCGTTTTTTTAGTGGTTTTGGTTTGAAAGAAGCATATAAATATAATATATGGTGACGTCATCAGTTTTTTCATCGGTTATATAGTTCATACGATACTAATATTTAAAATGTCAAAAAATTTAACTTTAACCTTCTAGAACGTCTTTATTTTTTACTTGTGCCGAATAATTTTGGCACGGTTGAAACGAGCGTAAAAAGTTCAATTGATATTGCATTTTTCGTTCTACTGATCTGCGTTTTTCGTTTTTGCATAGCTGAACGGTCGATAATCTATAATTGTTTCAGGAAATGACAATCATAAATGTATAGTTTTACGTATAATATGCTTAACCTACATTTTGTTCATAAATAACATATAATTACATATATTTTATCCTCGAAAATAACTTTTTTTTTAATCTTAGACAATAACTTGTACTTTCTAAATAATATCAATTTCCTTGGCATTAATTATGCAGTTTTTATCAAAAAATTTAACTTTAACCTTCTAGAACGTCTTTATTTTTTACTTGCGCCAAATAATTTTGGCACGGTTGAAACGAGCGTAAAAAGTTCAATTGATATTGCATTTTTCGTTTTTGTATACCGGAACGGTCGGCATTCAAGAATTGTTCCAAATAACTTAAATTAAAAATGCATATTTTTACGTATTACGGAAATACTAAACTTCCATTAACACACCAAATATATTGCAAATTCACGTGGAATTAATAACACATATTTTACTGCTAATTGTATACTTTGCGTACATTTTTTAGTACCTTTCTACTACCTTTTTCGCAAAAAGCGATCACAATCTTCCACTTTCTCCTTCTTCCAAAATACCACTCTGGACAAAGGAATGTCAAATTT